CTTTTTGGGTTAAAAGAATTTCTTAATATGAAATTCGAAGAGTATGACAATTAGATTAGTCTGTGCAGAAATTGAAATCTACACGCTAATACACACTATACTCATAGTCACCTATGCTGATGTTGTTAACATTAATAATTTGAGAATAAATAGCTAGATAATTCCACACACAGCTGCAATTCCAGGTTTTCAAACAGAGATGGCGACAAAGAGGCAAAACTTACGGACTGCAGCTTTAAATATGTACTTATTTTATTACACCTACTGTACTTTTATTGTTACGTTTTATAACACTCCACTTACTATTTTGTCAGTTTAAATTTTTATGAAGGTAAAATAATATATTTTTTTTTTTTGCTATTTCGAAATACAAGAATTCAATTATATTTTTTTGTCATGAAGTCTTTGCACTGAAGGCTGTTATTGAAAAATGGGCCAGTGTCAATTATACTGGACCCGCTAGCATTTTTATTTCACATTCAAAGAGGTTAGCCAATCATAACAGAGGTAATTTGCATAAAAGTAAAGCAAAAACAGCCTGTTTAATTTTTAGTACTGGAAAATGTTATCACAATATCAATTATATTATATCAATTATATCCCATTTTAGTGCATAACATTATAAGTGGGACAAAAAGTTTGAAAAATAAATTCTGTTGGACCCTTGAATATTTAAAGGGCTTTTAATCAAGGGAAAATTTTCATATGTACAAAAACATGTTTACTAAATGAGGAAGTAGTAAGAAATAACAAGAACTGTATTTCAACCACAAATATCAACAACATATAAACCAGACTGAATCCAGAATCTAGTGCACTAACCTCCCCCTGACTGGTGTCTGTTGTTAAAGTGCATCCTGGGAAATCCTCCCACAGAAGGAGCGTTTCCTCGGTCTCTTCCCAAGCCAGAGAGTCACAGTCATCCTCAAACTCACACTCACGCCTGGCAAAGACACGGTTAAGTTATTACAATAGTTATAAATAGACTGTAAAAAGAACAGTTAGGAACCACAGCTCTGACCAAACAGTGCAAAGCATTTTTAATGGCTCACAGTTGGGTCAGCATTCTCTGCATCTCTTCATTGATCTGGAGGGTTGAAGGGGTGCACACTTCATCCTCTCGCACACCACCTCCATCACTGTCAGACATGCTGACTGGCTCATCTGTCTCGCTGCCATTGGCAGGTTGTGAAACTTGTTTGTGGGCACGAGAGGTGATGGCATTCTGAGGGCTGGGAACCTGAGATGGCAAGAGAAAGAGAGAGGGTTAGGCCATTTCATAGCCTTCACATTTTTGACCCACTGAAACGAACATGCAAAAAGATTTATAGGTTGGACCGCTCCCCACTTCTACCCATAATGCAATAGACATCAGTTCTCTGTGTCTCAGACAGGGGGGGGTCATATGAATTACAAGGGTGCAAGATTACAAGATAATAGATGACATTCAGTGCAGAAAATCAATTTGGTTTGTTTTCCAGTAATAAGATTGAAACTGAAAACTACACATTTACTTGAGAATCATCAGGCATTAAATTGCTCTTGTATTAAGCACAAATTAGCTATATTTGTGCTGAAAACAAGTCAAATTTAATTTTATTGCGCTTTTCACAGTATACATTGTTTCAAAGCAGCTTAATAGAACATCAAATTGTAAATGTTTATAATATCTGAATATTTTTATACCTTAGATATTTAGCAGATTAGAGCTAGGTGATAATATAGTTACATATTGCACCGATATAAACAACCAAGCAGTTGAGATTTGCTATATAGTATTTATTGCTTTATGTGAGTATACTGTATGTATGCTGGTAAAGTTGGATATACTAATGCAAAAAAGAAAATAGGGTGAGAAAAATGAACTTAATTCAGACATATTTTAAGAACAGTTCTTAAAGTTTTTTTGTTTGTTGTTGTTTTTTAAAGCTTTAGATTTTCTATTGTTTTTATATGTTTCTTGTTTTGTGTTCTCATGTTTGAAAGGGTTTCAAAGTATATTGTGAGATCAGTATTACAAAAAGTAATATACTGTATGAGGGTTTCTTTTGATTTATTCTTGTCTTATTAATATATAAAACTGTGCCAAAATAATAAAAGATTTGTTTTTTTTTAATATTTTTTTTTAAATAAAAGAATAATAAAAGATTTATAACGTGAAAATGAAGTAAAATGTCAAAGATTATAAATTTAGAATTTTGTACAAAAAAAAATAAATTTTCATGTCCATTTAAAAATCAGTCCACAATGAAACAGAAAGTGGGCAAAAAAAGTTCAATATTTTCATCTATACTTGCAAAATGTACATTTTTCACAAACAGTATATCTACTAATGGTTGCATTTACATGATAACATATATGAATAATTTTGTAAATTATTTCATTTTGTTAGAAACAACATATTTATAAGATAATGTCCAGCCATGACATATAGTGAGCTTTAAGCCAATTTGATTTACATGGAGGATTGGATCTGACATTAAAGGAGTTTCTTATAAAATTTTATAAAAAAAAGGAAAGAGCATTTACAAAAAGCTGGGGACTTTGTAATGTTGCATCATTCACAGTGGTTTCTGAATTTAATAGTAATTTTGCATTCTCAAAGCCTCGCATAACCGCATCTTTCATATATTATGAAATTTTGCTCCTTAAGTAATTTAATCTTTTTATAAGTATTTTTAGATTTTTTTTATTTATTAGAAAACACCAAAATATGTCAGCGTTCAGACAAAGATCAGCAGTAGAGATAACAATAACGATCAAATGACATAGAAAACTGAGGAAGTGCATATGTGCGAGTGTGTGAATACCTTAAAGATCTTGATTGGATCTTCACAGTTTCTTTGTTGGGCGACATCACACAGGCGAGCTGTGATGTCAATGCGTCTGCAGATGTCCATGTCCACTTTCATGGCCTTCTCCTGGATCTTACTGTCCAGCTCCGACAAGTTCTGTATTTGTGTGGGTATTTTGAAACAAGAGTGATTAGATAACTAATAACAACTAATGTCTAGGTATTCTATTTAATATTCAAGAAGCTGGAGTTTCAAACGATATGAAACTGAAACCACAGTGGCATGTCTATTGTGGCTCACAATGAGGCAAACTGTGATGTCTGTATCGTTCCTTGCATTTACAGCGAACAGCATGTATGTATTAAACTCATTCACAAAACAAGCTATTTTTAACTCTTCGAACTCTGATAAATCATTTCTGGGAAAAGTATTTGATACAAAGGATGGTAATGTTTCATTTTCAGATAATAAATTCCATGAAACACATTCAAAAGATTTAAATAAAGTGCTAATTGTGGAAAATATGGAGGTGGGAAATTCTAAGTGTACTCGGTACATGTATTTGTGTGTGAGCCTTTATGTGAACAAAGGCACAATGCTCATTCATTTCTTCAGAAAATGTGATGACTGTGTCTGCTCTCAGAAAACGTGAGTGCTATGAGTGTAGCTGCTATGAAAGCACCTATTGTTCATGAGCTCGCCGGAAACAAACCCCTGAGTGTGTGTGATTTGTTGATTTAAACTCTACATGAGCAATGCAGTGAAATCAAATGGCTGCCATAAAAAGCTTAGACCATCATAAACTGAATGAATTCCTGTGCTACTCCATGCTGGTTTGTGCTGGTTAGAGCTGCTCTTAGTGCTGGTCAACCAATATGATCTTGACACCCAATACCTCGTATACATTTACATTTAGTGCAATTAAATGAAAATGTATCTAAATGAATGGAAAATTAATATTAAATGCAATTAGCTTTTAGCTACTTTAAGTAGGACTTAAGTACATCTTTATATGTAATTTCAGAATTATTTCTATTGTCTGGACTGAGAAGTATATATCGTATATTATGGTCATTTCTATTGAAACTTGTATGTCATGTATTTGACCCTTTATTATTTATTACCTTTATTTGACCCTCTAACTCTAACACTTTCTATTTTATTTTAATTCTACTTTATCTATATTTATCTTTTTTTTTTTAATTCTAAAAAAAACCAACAAAAAACAAAAACTAGCTTTCTATTTTTTCTATTTGAGTGAGTGAGTGAGTGAGTGAGTGTGTGTGAAGGTGTATATATATATATTTATATACACCTTGCTACGTGTACTGCGTTAGACTAACCGAGACTTGTCATTTGCACTTATATATACTGTTGCTCTTTTGTTAGTTTTGACTGCTTTTATTGTCCTCATTTGTAAGTCGCTTTGGATAAAAGCGTCTGCTAAATGACTAAATGTAAATGTAAAATGTATTTAAATATATTTGCAATTACACATTTGTGATGATGACGTTGAAATTTAGTACATTTAAAATATATTAAAGAGATGGTTCACCCAAAAATGATGATGTTGGTAACCAAACATTTGGCGGTAGCCAATGACTTCCACAGAATGAAAAAAAAAAATGCTATGGAAATCAATGGCTGTTATTAACTTTTTTTGGTTACCAACATTCTTCAAAATATCTTCTTTTGTTTTCAACAGAAGGAAGAAACTCGTACAGTTTTGGAACAACTGACAGAATTTTCCTTTTGGGGTGAACTATCCTATTTTAAATGTAATACTAAATAACACACTATAAGTAAAATTACAATCAAGTACTTTAAATGTGCTTTAGTATTTTAGTCAAGAAGTACACATCAGTATAAGTGTAGTTCTATATAGCATGATAAAAGTTTATTAAAATATAATAAATTCAAATGTACTTTAAAGAAATCATTTAATTTGAAATTATTACAAAGAGCATTTTTCTAAAAGCGTAGTTAAGTCTGTTGAGAAACAAGAAAGTGTACTCCTAAGTACACTTAAGCGGCCTTTTATTTCATTAATATCATATTATCTGCAAGTACAGTTTTTTTTTTTTTTAATCTACATTAAAGGTTTGAAGTAAAGTGCATATTCAATAAATTAAGCAAAAAGAATTAAGCTAAATAAATTATTATATTATTATTATAAAGGGAGTACGGTTTGGGGCGACATGAGGGGGAGTAAATGATATAATTTTAATTTAGTGACGTGACATGTGGCCAAGTATGGTGACCCATACTCGGAATTAGTGCTCTGCATTTATCCCATCCAAAGTGCACACACACACCGTGAACACACACCCGGAGCAGTGGGCAGCCATTTTTTTGCTGCGGCGCCCGGGGAGCAGTTGGGGGTTCGGTGCCTTGCTCATGGGCACCTCAGTCGTGGTATTGAAGGTGGGAGAGAGCGCTGTACATTCACTCCCCCCACCTACAATCCCTGCCAGTACGAGACTCAAACCCGCAACCTTTGGGCTACGAGTCCAGCTCTCTAACCATTAGGCCACGACTTCCCCATTTTAGATGATAATTTCCTGTCCTGTATATGTTGTAGCCCTGGCTGTGTTTGAGTGTACCGAGAGTGTGTTTTGCTGCTCTTACTCACATTGCTCATGAGTCCTTTAAAGAGCACGAGTTCAGCTTTCAGCTGTTGCACCTGGAGGGCCAACTCATCCTGACACTCCTCACTCTCCTGTAGGTCCTACACACATACACAAATGCATATCCATAATTATCATTAATAAACAATTATAGACATTTTCTGGGCTAACATCATCAAGATGTTACTCACATACTTCCAAAAACCCAACCTAACTCTTTACTTCATGTTAGTATAGCAAGAAGCCTACTGCACAGAGCAAAAGCGTACAGTACATAATTACATACTGAACAACTATTTAAAAAAATCTAACTTATAATTAAGTCATTTTGAACACAGAGGAAGTAACTGAATAAAGAATTATCAATACAGCTCTAATTTAGACCTAGACCAAGACTAAGTTTAATCTTTGACTTAATTAATTGAAGCTAAGACTAAACACTACATTTTAGTTATCAAGGTCATTCTGAGATAAAGAATTTCTCAATGAAACAAAAATTGCCATCATTAGGCATTACACTGCATATAGCATTTTTATATAATATATTAGTATATATAATTGTTACTGCAGTTTTGCCTTTAAACGTCTATACACTGACAGTTTCAATCAATGTTGAAAACTGATTTGACCCCAAAAGTAAAACATTCCAAAAGTATCAAGCTGAAATGAATCACCTGAGGGTCGAACAGGCAGGAGTTTCTTATGTGTGCCTTTATGAATTAAAGCTTCAACCAAAACAGACGACATCATTTCCTTGATCAGTTTACACTACTGATTGCGGTTTTGGGCTCAGCAAGTTTTTATTAAAGAAATGAATACTTTTATCCAGTGAGCAATTTAGAAATTAAATTGATCAGAAGTGAAAGTAAAAAGTATGAAATATTTTTCTATCACCAAATCAGCATATTAGAATAATTTCTGAAGGATCATGTAACACTGAATACTGAAATAATGGCTGCTGAAAATTCAGCTTTGCCACAGGAATAAATAATATTTTAAAATATATTAAAATAGAAAACAGTTGTTTTAAACTGTAAAAATATTCACAATGTTACTGTTTTAATGTATTTTGATTGAACAAACAAGTATAAAAAAGAAAGAGATGTTTTGGCTTGAAAAGGTGTTCCTCACCTCATGTAGATCATTCATTCTCTGTTCCATGTCCATTCTCATGGTGTATTCCTCTTCCCATCTGAGAGCAGAAAACCAGAACATCAGAACCAACACCATAGTTTGTGTCCAGGGCCGGATTTACCTCTTATTGTGACATAGGCAAAATACATTTTTGGGCCCCTCTTCCCTATTACCACCCAAAAAAGCAAACAAAAATTATAATCCATGGAAATCATTACAGTGTTCTCTATGCCAGAATCCCGTTACTGATTACAAAACATAATTTTGATTTAGAGCTACTACTGGAGACTTGATCCTTTAATATGCAAACTAGTTAATAGAGAGAAACTGTAAGCTGAACTGCTTCAAGAACAGTGCCATTTTTACATCCATGCTGAGAAATGTCATGTAGCTTTTCAGTTGTAAATCTACTTTATTGATAAAGTCGCAGGGCAGCGCTGACTAATTTCTGTGCACGTGTTTGATCCGCGCGTGCGCTGGACTGTGAGTCTGTACTGTATGTGTGTGCGTTTATATGAGAAAGAGCAGGAGAAAGAAAGTGTGCTGTTCGTAGATAATAAAACGTCATTTTGTGTGGAAAACATGGAAATAGTTTATTGTTTGTGTCTTATTGTTTGTTATATGTATTTGCTTGGTTAATGCCTTATTGAGTTTTGGTTCTTTTGCTGTTGTAGGTATCCTGTAGAATAAATAATTATTTATTTATTGTAATTGGGCCCCCCGGAACGTGTAAGCATATAGCACGTGCCTAGAATGTCTATGTATAAATCTGGCCCTGTTTGTGTCCCAACAACAGGAACATTTAATGTCAATGCTCAAAAAAAAGGAAAGAAAAGGTGGTCCATACACCTCCTGCAAAATATTTAAAGCCTTCTGAAGCTGCAGATTATAGCTTTGCATGAGAAATCGACTAAAATGTACAATTCACCTTAGCTCTTTTTGGTGCACTCAAAAGAAGTAAGATTAAAGGGGTCATATGATGCGATTTTTCCTTTCTCTTTGGAGTGTTACTGTTGCCGCCGCCGCCATGTCGTGAAGGCGCTGTGTGTTTCGTTGTGAAAGCTCCTTCATCGAATCCGCCGGCCTCGCTGTTCTCAAGCCCGCCGGCCGTTCCTCACTCTAGGCCGCCGTGTGTGACGCCCTGATCCTGGAAGAGTAGACTACAATGTCGGCTGTTCTGACTCACAGACTAAGTACGTTTTCATATCTATAGAATTTGCCACTGATGATTCAAACGTGAGTTTTGAGTAGTGTAGAGTAAATTTGCGCTTGTTTTTTTTCATTTCTCCGATCTCAAATGCAGACATGAGTTTATGTTTACGCGGCGCGATCGACGCGTTTCAGAAAGGCGGGACATAGAGGAGAAACACTAATGTACAGTATGTGGAAAATAATGTGTTTTTTTAACCTTAAACCGCATAAACACATTTCATTACACCAAATACACAAAATAATGTTCTTTTTAGCAACATCATATGACCCCTTTAAATCTTTCAGTGAAATGGCTGGTCTGGTTCACAAAACCGGTCTGAAAGATTTATTTACAATCTGACTGTCAGTATGTTTCTCACACAAAACTATAGCATTACTTGACAAGACATGGAATATAGACATGATACCTTTATGGTGATTTTACATCCTTTTTTAGCATAAAAGCTCCAACCTCCATTCAATGTAATTGTTTGGAAAAGTGCAACCTGTACATTCTTCAAAATTTCTCCTTTCATGTTCCACGTAAAAAAACTAAGTAATAAATGACTTGAGTGTGAGTAAACGATGGCAAAGGTTTCTTGTTTGTGCAAACTAATCTTTTAAATATTATATACAATCCATGTCAAATAAATACAATTTAATGCTGCTTGGAAGATCTTGTGAAGCAGGAACAAACAAATGCAAAACATGTATTACTCTTGTTACAGGAGAAAATACTGATATTTAGTGTGTGTGTGTGTGTGTGTGTGTGTGTGTGTGTGTGTAATCTTCAAGTGTAAGTGTTTTGAGTATGCTAGCTCAACTTAAGTGCAATGATTGCATCCATTCAGTCCTTTTAAATGCTCCATCAGCCCAGTCAGCCCTACAGTAATTTACTGTGTGGCTGTTCAACAGTAATATTGTCCAGTGCAGTAGTATAGTGCAATGACATGGAGCCAAACAAGCCCTGTTCTTATGTAAAGCTACTTAACATTCAGAGCATTGCAGCAGCCTCTACATTTATCAAACGTCCTCACTGGACTGCAAGGTTAGTTTGAGGCCATGCATTACTGCCAATTCAAGGTGCAAACATGCAATTACAGAGGGAGTGACAGATAACAGGAGCGAGTAGAGAAGAGAGAGAGAGAGAGAAAGAGAGAGAGAGAGAGAGAGAGAGAGAGAGAGATATTGCTTCTCTGCAGCTTCTCTGAGTCCTTGTGTATGTACTGCAATGCAGATATAACATCCATCACTGCTGCTGGATGCCGTGGCTGTAATAGAGCAGCCTAGATGAGACAAATTATACAAATTGCAAGTGTGTTTAATTTCAGACATTTTAATGTGAATCTATTAATGTGAATGACTATTAAGTTTCTGAAAGAGCACTTAAATTTTTTTGTTGATCACTATCATTCCAAAGTTTAGGGTCAGTATGATTTTTAAAATATTTTTGAAAGAAATCTCTTATGCTCAACCAGGCTGCATTTATTTGATCAAAAATGCAGTAAAACCGTAATATTGTGAAATATTATTCCAAATTAAAATGATTGTTTTATTTTAACATATTTTATGCAATTTATTCCTGTCATTGCAAAGCTGAATTTTCAGCATCATTATTCCAGTCTTCAGTGTCACATGATCCTTCAGAAATCATTCTATTATACTGATATGCTGGTTTGATGAAACATTTCTTCTTATTACTGTTGAAAACAGCTACTTTGTGGAAACCTTTGTACAGTTTTTCATAATTCTTTTAACAATAGAAAGTTCAAGAGAACAGCATTTATTTGAAATAGAAATCTTTTGTAACATTATAAAAGTATACTATCGCATTTGATCAATTTAATGTGTGAATTAAAATATAAATTTCTTTCTTTCTCAAAAATAAATAAATAAATAAAAAATCTCACCCCAAACTTTTGAACAGTAGTGTATGTGTCAGTACTTTCAAGTATGGAAACATTAAGAGATTAAAAAATAAATAAGTTTCTCTGCAACATTTTTCATATGAACTTTTTCGTTAAATAATGCATTGGTAAATTGAGCTGTTTATGACTGTTTTGTTATATTTGTGGATATGAATTGTGTGATTGTTTAGGATGAATCGGAACACAGACTGTGAGCCAGGTCCCATTACTCAACATCTGAACAGTCTGAATAGAAGCAAATCCCTGCATCCTTGTTTCAGCAGCTAGTGTAAATCCGTAGCAGCAAAGGGGGATTCATGTGCTTGCCACACTTTTGAAATTAAATATTTAAGAAGACAAAAGAGCATCAGGGAGATCAGGCACTGATGTTGAGCGATGGGACCTGGTTTGCAGTTCCCGTTCATCCCAAAGGTCACAACAGACTTAGTCAACAATTTCTTTATGGACTGCTTTGTGCACAGGCTGTCTTGGAACAGAAAAGAATTTCACAAAACTGTTGCAACAAAGCTGAATTTCAATGTAGCATTGGGTTTTTAGAAAAGGGTGTCCACGTCATTTTGGCCATATACACTAGCATTCTAAATTCTGAAATTAAGACTATTATTCAGCAAAACTGATCAAAACAATAGATAAAACTGATTAAAAATGACAGTGATTAAAGACATTTATAAAGTCACAAAAGATTTCTGTTTCAAATAAATACCGTTCTTATGAAATTTCTATTACTGTTTTTACTTTTCTATTTTACTTTCTATTTTCTATGGAATCCTGAAAGATGTATCACAGTTTTCACAAAAAAAATATTAAGCAGCACAAGGATCACGTAACACTAAAGACTGACGTATTGGCTGCTGAATATTCAGCTTTGCCATCACAGGAATAAATTACATTTTAAAATATATAAAAATAGACAGTTATTTAAAATTGTAATAATATTTCACAATGTTCCAATAAAATTATTTACTGTATTTTTAATCATAAAATCGTTGGTGATCATAAGAAAAAAAATACCTTGTGTGAAATAAACAGAAATGATTAAATATCATTCTTCATTCTGTTCACTTAATGAAAAAGAGTGTGGAAAACATGCCTCGATTATTTTAAACAAAATATTTTTAGCTATATCATAGATAGATAGAAAAACGCTTTCGAGGATGAGAGCTACAGACAACAAAAGATTGCTTACTAAATTAGAAAGCCAAAACTAGAAAATAAATATAGAAAAGAAAGTCTGAGTAGAGCTGAAACCAGAGCAAATGGTGAAGCAGTCAGACGGCGAGACGCTGAACACACGATAACATCTGTTATGAAGCAAAAGGGTTTAAGACAGAGAGCCAAAATGACTTTTCTGCTTTTCAACAGTGTTTTTTACCTGTCCTGATGAGTCAACAGACTGTAATGAGTTTGCAAATTGACGGTCCGTTCAGCCCTAAATTAAGCTGCAATACGTGACTGACAGCAGGTGGAATGTGGAGCTCTGGCTACTGCAGGTCTGGACATAAAGAGCTGTGACACTGATTGAATACCACCATTTATGAGAAACACGGCCATTATTTCCCCTCCAGCTGAGTCTTATCGACTATATACTGTACATATGATCTTCCTTGCTTTTGCTTCTCATGTTCACCTCTAGCTTTGTGAAACTAATAAAAGCCCTAGGTATATGTTACTGTACATGAGTCTGAAGTGCATCTGTCTCCACCCATCCTAAACACCTCCTCGTATCACCTTCACATTTATCCTATAGATTTTGCAATACTCCATTCAAATAATTTAAGCAGCCGTGAGAAATAAGGACCAAAATATATACTTCATGTCTCTGCACATGACTACTAGCAGATGAAGTAAATGATTTATGGGCTATTTTATCCCACAAAAGTTGCAAGTCACAACTCGCTCTCTTTCATGACCAATATTACTTTGTTGTCGTCTTGAACACCTGCAGGGTCCAGCCTTTTCAGGTTTGAAAAGTAACCACTTCATGTGAGGTGGTGACTGCAGTCTGCTCTGCATTACAGCAGGGATGTTCGTGACTGATGCACAGGTTATCAGAGGTCAGTGCGAGTCAGCAGCAGAAGGACAGACTGCACATTGGAACTGAAATAACCCAGTGTGCAGGTGTCTTATCCTCCTGAGATCCAGAAATAAGGCTTTGCCTTTGAGATTTGACAATATATGCTGTCTGAGTCCTCTATAGTGAAAATGCTTTGAATGTTTCTAATGAATACATTTTGATTACAAATCAAGTTATCAAGCAAAGACAATTTTCATAATTTAGTGAATTTAAATAAAAAGAGTATTTGGTATCTATCTATCTATCTATCTATCTATCCACAATTCATTTCCACATTCTTTTCATTTCCAGGTTTGAATTAAAACCGAGTTTGCATCTCAGATTTGACATGTTTATTTGTTCAACTATTACTTATTAACTCTTTATTTTTGAATTTACAGTACTGGTCAAAAGTTTGGAATAATTAATACAGAATAATAAGTTTGGAAAAGGTTTAAAAAAAAAAGTCTATTTAAGTCATTTATTTGATCAAAAATACAGTAAAAACATTAATGTTGTGAAATGTTGTTACAATTTAGAATAACTGTTTATTATTTGAATATATATTTAAAATGTAATAGCAATTTAATTTTTAGCAGCAATTACTGCAGTTTTCAGTGTTTTCAGAAAATATTCTGATAACTTTTGACCGGTAGTGTACATTACCTTTGCCATCATCTAACACTCACTAAATGGTAATCTTCAAAAACCCTATTACTGTAAATTATATCTTTCGCAAATCTTAAAATAATTATCCATTTTTCATTTTGTACTTGATAATGTTGTGATGCCTAAATTCACTTGTAGTGTTAAAACAATCTATTTTTCAGTGTTTTAGTTATTTATTTATCTTTAATTATCAGTTTTCAGCCATAACATCAATCAATTATCGGCTTATCAGTATCAGCTAGAATTTGAAAATCCCTAATTATATCATATATTAACAAAGAACATACAAAATAGTTTCTAGATTTCAGGAGGTCATTCAGACTGGCAGCAATCATGTCTCAAAGCCATCATGATTCTTTGAAGCAGAGGATGTCATATGGACCCAACACAGGAACGTCTTTCTCATTAACAAACAGTTAGCCATAAAAAGCATCTATATTCTCCATATTCACCTTCGCTTGTACTCATCCCGCTCCCTTTTGATTTTGGCCAGGACATTGTAAAGTGCTCTGATCTCTGGGGTGATGGTGTCTATCTGGACACCCACGCCGTCCGGGTGGACCCACGACACTCCGGGACTGGTGACCCGAGTCTCTGACCCGCTTCCCAGTTTACGGGTGTGATTGTAGGACCAGATAGTGCCCGGGAGGAAGCGAGGGGGAGGGTTGGGAGATGTCCCGGTGCCAACGCTGCTCACATGCGGAGCATTGTTGGAGTTATTGGTGTTGGTGTTGGCCGAGGCGGGTTCGGTGGTGGGTGTTGAGAGACTAACCATAATGGTTGGGTTCCTATTGGTGTTTGGGTCAGTTGTGGTCTCATCATCAGCTTTATTGGGCTCAAGCTTGAGGACAGTCGTAAGAGAAGGCATAAACAACGTAGTGGGTCGTTTAGCAGAGTTGTTAGTGTTTTGGAAGGACAAAGACCCAGGCCGGACAGCAATAGGCCCAATAAACCCAGTCTGCACACCAATTTCTTTGGTCTTTCCGTCCTCCACACCTCCACTTGTGTTATTGCAGTCTAAAGCCTGCTGTAGCTGTAACTCCAATATCTTATTGCGTCTCTCCAGTTCATGCACTTTAGCCAGAAAGCATCGGAACCGCAGATTGAGGGTCTTCAGGACGCTTATATTGGATCCCAGGTCGTTCCTCAATGCCATGGCTGTAGGTGGAGGAGGTTGGGACCAGTGGAAAGATGGACTGAAGTGCAGATAAGAGGATCCCGTGAGGCCGGGTTGTTCTCCGAGGAAAAACGAGGATGGGTCAGGAGCTCCTAGGACAGCAGCCTCAGGGAGTAAACCGGAGGGAGAATCGGGATGACCGGGTCCTTCTGGATTCTGCTGCTGCTGATGAGGATGAGGATGGAGAGGAGAATGCATGCTACGGCACGGAAAACTGAAGCGCTGCAGATCGGGCATGAACCCAGCTATGCCTGACTTTTAAAATAGTTAACGGCTTGATTTCAAATGTCAGTGGTGTTTAGCGACCCAGTGACACGGCGATGTCCACATTTAACTCGTTAAAGCCTTATGTAACGAGTTAAGAGTATTACAGCTTGCGTGCAAATGCTGAGTAAGGATAGGTAGACGCTGATGGAGATGAAGCGGCTCTCACTGCAGCAACCGATAAACGCGCAAAATATAGACTAATTATAAAAGCATGCAAAATTATTCAAACAAGCAAAGAATATTATAACAACTAACGCCAGCGAAATACGTTTAAAATAGGTCCAAATGAATGTCTTGTGGCTTCCCCGCCTGGAAAGCTGAACCGCTCGAGTCTCTCTGCAGCGCTTCAGTGCGGACACTACCGTAATATCAGCAACAGCTCTCGGCTTGTGTCTGTTTACTGGAATATTCCAGAGCCGCAAAATAATATTTGGTAGAGGACTTTGCGCAGAATTATCTTTATATATAATCAACCGCTGTTCGAAGGCGAATAACAGCTCTCCATATGCTTTTCCCCTTGTGTGTTTGTCTAAGAGTGGTTCTTACGGTAAAAAGGTATTACCTCATGGATCATGATAACAAAGCAACTCTGACGTCATAGATCTGCAACAAATAGCCTAGCCCTTGTACTTATTGGGTCTTATAGGGCTTCTGATTTAAATTTGTATCTACTTGGAAACTAATAAATAAACATCAAAGTCTTTTCGTCATTGTAAACTTTATTAACATTTCACATTCATTCAGAAATAGTCATTTAAAATACTTTGGACTGGATAGTGCACTCATAAATACAATAAGTAGATAAATAAATTGTTTAGATGCACAAGAGATTAATAAATAAATAAATACACAGGATCAAGTCATAAACATACAAAGGACAAAATCAATATGAAAACAAAAGCCTCGTGTCAAAGTACCAGTGTGAGACATGATAGGTGCAAAATAGCCTAGTGTGTAAAATCACACACTGGATGACACTAATGGAAACAAAGAAACACTGCTTATTAACTAAAACAACAGATATTTTGAGCTAACTAACTGCATTATGAACTTTACTGATGCTGTCACTCCTCACCTGTCAACAAGCTGTTAGAGGTGGGTTCTCTAAATTATTTTTCAGCTCTCTTTCCACCTCCTTCCCTCTCTCTCTTTCTAAGTTGGTCTGCGTATCTAAGGTTGTAGTATCCAAGGTTGCCCACCCGACTGCTGCACTGTCCTGACAGGACCCTCTCTGACCTCTACTCCCTCGGCTCCCTCTACTCTCTCTACTCTTCCGTGAGGAATCTTTTTTCACACGGTCCCCAGACGACTGACTGGTAGGTGTGCTTCTTCTTCTCCAGCTGTGAATATAAGAGAGAGTGACGCTTCCACGATATCCTGGATGTGTGGAAAATAAAAAGACAGAAACAGAAATGTGAAGAAATGTAGACAGAGAAATAAAATTAACGAAAATATATAAGTATAGACCAGGGGTCAACAAATTCGGTGACCGGAAGTTTCTAGAATGCCTAATAAGACCATGATTCGCTGGTTCAGGTGTGTTTAATTATGTTTGGAGCTAAACTCAGGACAGTGGTACTCCAGAAACGAGTTTGGAGACCCCTGGTACGTACGTACAGACAGACAGACAGATAGACAGATAGATAGATAGATAGATAGATCCTGACCATCAGAATCACTGCCGTCTGTGCTCCTTGTTCTCCTCCTCTCTCCATCTTTTCCTCTCAAGCACAGGAGATCATAGACGTCCTCCCTGAAGTCGCGGTTCATGATCTGGTAGATAAAGGGGTTTATCATGCAGTGTGACTTGGCAAAAATAGCGGGGACGAGTGAGACCTCTGGCTTCAGGATGGACACAAGATGTGACTGATGTCCATTCATTCCTCCATGTGCAGAACCCACAGTTGAACTTGATCCATGATGCCCTACTGAATGATGGGAATGATCAGAAGTCATATTCCTCCAGGAGCCAAAAGCATCCCCGAAGTGTTCTGAAGAGGTCCAGTTAATGAGGAAGGGAAAACCAAAGACGTCAGACAACCCTCCGCCATGGCCGACCCCTGTTGCTGACACTCCAGCCGTGAGAGCGGTTCCTCCGTCTTCTCCAGTGTGCTCCTCTCTGGCAGTCAAAGCGGAGTAGAGCGAAACAATCACATAGGGAGTCCAGGCAATCAGAAATGAGGAACACACCACTGCTGCTATCTGCAATGAAACATTTTAGGAACTATGGGATACAAGAAGGAAATAAGAAATTGTATGTAAATCATGAAAAGGAGAAATTTGAATAAAAGTTTGGAGGTAACAGCAGAGCTATTTTTGGAACCGTTGCAACCGTTGTCCCACCACTGTGATAAATGGTGCCCATTAAGGTCTCCAGTAAAAGCAATTATTATTATTTATGTCAGCTTTTACTTAATCATTCTTTCAAATGTGGTGCTAACTGCCTGGTATCATTAAAAAAAGATTATTATTATTATTAATTCATGTGCTCTTGTGATCTTAAATCAAAATAACTTTCCTTTCCCTTATGCGACGACATATCTTGCACCTGCACGAGAGCAGGACAATAACCTCTCCCCTCCAGCAACCTGTTACTCACTTAAAATTGTAACAATAGCAAACGACAATGATCTAACCATCCAATCAATTCCCAGTGGACAAAATCAAGTCCCGCCCTACATTTTTTCTCATTTTATATACATCACAATAGGGAAGAAAAGACGATCACAACTTCCATTTCATGGCAACTTTAAAGCAGGCAGGTTGTCAAGTTATACCATGTATCAAAAAATTAATATGTGTCCATTTTTATTTTATTGTAATTAATTCTATATTATTTTAGTATTTATATTTTAGTTCAATTTGTTTTAGTATAATTTATTTATGTATTAATTTATTTTTATTTTAAATTTTGTGACCAGTAATAATCAATACACTCTCATAGCAATTTTACATTTTGTCGAATGGTGGCAAAATCATATGAATTTGTAGAATCTCAATGTAGAATGCCATTTTTGTACAATCCACGTATATCACATTGAGGGTTAGGTTTATAGGTGGATCTTTATGCTTACCTTTTTTCTACAAAATATATGCTTTCCTACTAATCAAATCATACAAATTCATACAAAATCACAAACTCATAAAATAATTACATTTTCCCATGACATCTGGTCTACATGGGCCCTGAGACTTTAAGATATCCCTGGTTAAAAGTGATTGCGAAGTGCGTCCTTTCCAAAGGTATGATGGGTGAACAATCAGAGCCGGTACCTTTGTCAGCCGGAGATCTTTGCTGTTGTGAGTGACACTGGATAAAGGGATTGAAGCCAATATCCATCCAGACCAATACACCTGAAATCACACAACAGTGTAGCAACACTTCAATTCACCTTAAATAGTTCTTCAGTCAACATTAGGATTAAACAATTAAATAACAAATTATCATTACCATCATCCTCAGAATAAATCAAAATGATCAGGACATGTCTTAGGTTCAAGTGTTTCAGAATCATTCTTAATAGTGATAATCTCTCTGTTTCTCACCTTGATGAGGATAGCGAGGTATGAAGAGATGATAGTGAACGTGGGAAGTCCAAAGCAAAGTGACAGGATCAGGTAAATATATACTCTATCATTAAGTGAAGACTTCATTCTCCACCTGTGGCCACAGGAAACAATGCATGAACACATCAACACATATTTTCTGTGATGGGTGGATGCGCCAGTGGTTTGTGGGTAAAGTAACACTCAGCTGCTTGAAAGTGAACGCTATATATTTGTCCCTTGAGAATGCACACTGAAAACACCAACTAATCTTTGGGGAAAAGGTTGGTGACTCATTTACAAGTGTTACTAATGGTTATGGTGCATTACCAGTTTATGGTGCAGCTGGTTCCAAATGGTTCCGGTCCGTAACTACCAAAGCCAAAAACAGGAAGTGAGGCCCAGAATAATGTATAGATCCACACCAGAGCCACAGACAGAGAGGCATGTTTTCTCTCAATCCACTGACCTGAGACAAAGGAACAAGTACATTAGTAAACATCTGAAAGTTTACTTGATGGCTCCATAGTTGCTGGATAGGACTGAAATGTACTAGCCGGGTATTATTATATCGATTGTCCCATTCTGTTAGCTGAGAGAAAGATATGCAGTCCATCAAAATTAGAAATCTATGTTGTGCACTGGATATGCATAAATGACAACCATAATCTCTGATCTTGTGCATTGACATACTATTCTTTTAAGAAGGGAGGCAAATTGTAATTATGGAAATAATGCAATTAATATCTCCAATCACAAACCGGCTTGAGTGATCTAATTTTCTCAGCACATGCTTTGTTCTCTCTCTGCCTGTTAAATGATTTTGTGAGAAATTTTCAGCATGATATTATTCCTTTGAAATGTGCTCTTATTTGAGATACAGCGGTTAAAGGGTAAAATACTTCAGAAAGGGGGTTTCAGATTATGGGGAAAGTGATTTCCCTTGGTGATAGTGCTAATTATTTGTCCAACAAGAATAACCAAATTCTGTACTTCCATCAATAATGCCTGATGTGGAAATTAATGATTGGGTAGGCCAATATTTTACCTAACTTGCAAGTCTCAGTAATATATAATAAAATAAAACAAAACAAAAATTCAGTGGATAAAAAGGGAAAATTACCATATCGAAAGCTACAGATCTTGAAGCAGCGGTCAAGGGAGATAAGGCAGGTAGTGATGAGAGACCCAATGCCAAAAACGAAGCCCTGAAACCCGTACCACATACATCCTGTTTCCCCAAAAATCCATGCATGCGACAGACTAAGAGAGACAAATAGGGAGAAAAAGTTTAGAGCAGTAGCAAAATACTGAGCACAGCAAATCCAAAAATATCCAGAAGAACTCTACATATTTCATATTCTGAAATTCTGCAGATCTAAGGTTTTTCTGAGTTTATTTTCTATAAGACTGAACCGATTTCTTCTTGTGTGTATACAAGTTCACAAACCAGGCATGATGATTTTTTATTCAGATAGCTTTCCATCTTCTGACCCAAGATGTTAGAGGCCCAAGTTTTTTCTTTTCTTTTTCTTCACAAATCTTCCTCCACCTGAGGGCATGGTTTGGTGGTTTGTAGGAAAAAAAGAATTCTTTCAGCTACATAAAAGTGAAACCCTTTTGGCCCCTTGCGAATGCACTCCAAATACCATGAAAAGTATAGTGGCTCGAGACTTCAAAGGATTTTTGTTTTCATTTTCCACAAAAATCTATTTTTAAGTAAACACATGCATTAAATAAAAAATAAAGCAAAACTGATTCAAGAGCACATCTAAAGTATTTTCCCCTGACCAAATGCCTGTTAAATTTTAAATCCTCTCTAAAGTCAAATCCGATCAATAATATACCCAGAGTTTATGTTCTACATTATGTAATATCATTATCAATGGCTTATACTCGGACTGTCAATCACAATACTCTGATCTTGACAGACACTCACACACTCCAGAAGATATGGAGGGATAATCACAAGAGCAACTGATGCATGCCTTGCCATAGACTAATACAGGCTTTAACAGAGCTTGTATAACTCGTAATGTACACTGGCATGCCAAGCAAACTTAGTATAACCCTTCAAAATACACGTTAGGAATCAGGCTATGTGAAAATGTACTATCTAAAGTAGCAGTCAGTGCAATGGTGGTACCTTGAGATGATGATACATGGATATATTTCACTATAAATTAAATTAAATGTAAAATTTTAATATAAAAAATTCAGGACAATGCATGTAATTTTTGCAGATTGTTTTTTAAAGTAAAACATATATTTTAAATAGTATGATAACTTTCTTTCCTAGCATTCTTTGCAGTGAGCTTAAAAATATTGTAAGTGAGCTAAAAAGTATTGACTGATTGTTTATAATGTTTTAGTTTATCAGTAAATCAATCAATCAATCAATCAAGCATCTTCTGCCAAATTGCATTACAGTATTGGTAATGATCTTATTTGCCCTACTAGAGCAGTTTCGTAGTCTTCTGACAAAAGACTTTCTCTGCCTCCTCTAGACAGTCATCTCTGTAACTGTAACTGTCAGTTCTGCAAAAAATACAGTACATGTTAGAAGTACTTGGCTACAAATTAATTCAGCGGTTCGGTGTACAACATGCTACAGCATTTTCTGTAGATAGAATAGTGAAAGTTCTCTCATGTAAAATACTGCTAGAAGTACTGTACTTGTACTGAACACAGTCAACTATAATGCTTTGTATTTCATCAGGAACAAGTGTCACTTGACCCCGTCCCTTCATTTTTCTTTTCCCCTGCTCTTCGTTCTCATCTTCATCTTCCTCTGTCTCCCAGCACTAGGGTTAATTTTCCAAAGCACATAATCACCTGTGCTCCGGTTTTTATTATCCTGAGATTCTGACTGGTGTTATCAGTTTTGCTACTTAATGTTTACACATGGGAAAATGTGTGCTATTTGAGTTTATATTGTGATGCTTGAGGAAATTATACTGTGCACTTGTGTTTTCTGAATGAGAACATGGTTAAACCCGTGCATTTGTGTACAGTTTTGCAAAAATAAAAAATATTGATCAAATTGGTACATGTGTGAAAACGGGTGAAATGTGTTTGTTTTGAAAAGTGTCCGTTTTAACAACTGAATGAATTGTTTGGAAAATTGGGTCAAATGAATCAATTATGGTGTTAGCAATTGAGAAAAACTATAGTAGACTAATTTAGGCTTTTCACACTTAAATAGGGGGTTAACAGAATCCAGTTTATTTTCATGTTTCACACTATGCATTCATAAACCTCAGTTAATGTTCTAATTTACAGCAGCACACTAGCAGTTTAATTACTGCCCTGTCTCTGGGTCATTCCCATGCTCCCAGGGTTCTGTGTTCCCCAGATTTACACAGCACATAATGACGATGATTCTTAGCTCCCAGGTCCTATGTTTGTTTATGGTGAACGTGATTTCACCAAGTACAACATGTCCCAGGATAAACATCCTTGTTGATCCTGGAACAACATTCCAATCAACCAATCAGAATTGAGGGATAACTTTTCAGGAAATATCTGTTTTAGGCTTACGATCAGGGTTAGGTGCTTCTACAGCCTTATCATTTCACACTGATTTTAGGAACAAATTATGGGTAGGGTTAGGTTTAGGGGTAGGGATTGGGTTAAGTCTACATTTTTGGACAGTAATGTTGATCCAGAATCAACAAAAGATGTTGATCCAGGAACACGTCTCACTTGGCAAAATCACGGCGACCGTTTGTTTATATAGGACATAATGAATGGGAACCTGGAGAGAAAAAACAAAAAAACATGGGAATCCTAATACTTTTCTGATCATTACTGTAAAGCTGCGAGCGATAACTATAAACCTAACTATCCTTCACACCAACAAATGATAACATTTAAGAACGGGCTGAATTTATGTTGCCTACAACTTTACATGCTTGATTTCTTTGAGTCAGGTGAATTCTGATTGGTGGTCATTTATCACTCATCAGCTGAATAAAAAAATTAAAAAAATAAAAAACAAAAAAAAATGGAAGCAATTCCAATGTTGTTCCTCAGTGCCATTATTACTACAGCTGTGGTGTAGACTTCCCTATTTCTGGTTTGAATTCCTCTAGGAGTAAACTTTATCAAATGATTTTCTCCTTTAAACAGCAGCGACTGTAGAAACATGAACATTTAGGCAAGCTTATGCCAAAACCGCATGATTTCACACTAAGTGCACTTGTTTAAATTCAGTGTGAGCCACTGATCTATTATATATAGAAAATATGCACTTAAACTATGCATTACATACTTAAGTGTATAAATTTTATATTTGGTTAGTCAAACTAGAACCCTACTTCACTACACTAGAAATGTGACTTGACAAGCCACAGTTAACTGGGGCACCTAGACAATTGGCCATAAATTACCAAGGAAACTAATCAAAACACTGGTTTGCTTTAAAAGATCATATTCCCAATTTTAGAAAGAGTGCCGACCCAAATAAGTCACTAGATCTAGATAAAACACTAAGACAACATACTTTCCATTTCTCACAAACAGAGGACTTTATTCCGTCACAGGTTGTTAGCAGACAGAAAAGCCTTTGAAGTCAACATCCATTTTAAACCTCACACATAACAGAACAGAGTATTTTCATATAAAAATAACATTGGTCTTCAAATCAAGAATGTAATTTCCTTCAAGGCAAGTGGTGCAAAAATCCAACCAGATGGGAGAACGGTGGGTCGTGTATCAAAAACCACAAAAAAGGGGGACACATTTACTCTTTGGAGGCCATGTATGCCATCAGGTCACATACACGGTTGCTGTAACCAAACTCATTGTCATACCTATGGGAAGGAAGAGAATTAATTAGTGCCATTCAAAACTACACAAGCAAAGAGTGTACAAAACCAGAGTTTGTGCCCTTCAGTGGGATGCTCCAAAGTCTAGATGATACAGGAGTTGCAGAGTTGTGACATTGGAAAGAGCATGTTGATTTGAAAAAAATTGCAAAAACACTGATCTATAATAGATTTAAGTAAGAGATATACATCTAGCTGGTTATTGCAAAATTACAGCAACACGAAGTGGCTGCATTTGTATAAAAGGAGTCTGCAGTGTGATACAAGACGTGAGCGGTGGCTTACACTGCATTGATGGTCATTATCAGGAAAGAACAGACCTTGTAATGTTGTGACTGAACTCTCAAATCAAGCATTTCAGAGAGTCGTATAATATAGGCCTATAATCTATACAAACATTAGTGAGGGGAAAGTCTGCAGTGAACTATAACGAATCATTTTGCAAATATTACACGCTGTTTTTTTTTTTTTAAGTGTGATACAAGACGTGAGCGGTGGCTTACACTGCATTGATGGTCATTATCAGGAAAGAACAGACCTTGTAATGTTGTGACTGAACTCTCAAATCAAGCATTTCAGAGAGTCGTATAATATAGGCCTATAATCTATACAAACATTAGTGAGGGGAAAGTCTGCAGTGAACTATAACGAATCATTTTGCAAATATTACACGTTGTTTTGTTTTTTTTATTCAGATGTAGTTATTGGAGTAATACCAGACTCTGATGTACAATTTTAGGTAGCATCTTACCATGTGACCAGCTTGACAAAGTGATTGTTGAGGGCAATGCCAGCACCAGCATCAAAGATAGATGAACGCACATCCCCGTTGAAGTCAGTGGATACCACCTGCACACGGCAGAAAGTTATAAAACAATTTGCTGAAAAACACTGGTCACAACACTGACATAACTGAATGTGCATACCTGGTCCTCGGTGTACCCCAGAATGCCTTTCAGGGGTCCATCAGCTGCAGCCTTGACCACTTTCTTGATCTCATCATAACTGGCCTGCAGTTAACAGAATAGGGACATGAAAAGCCAAAAGGCAAGTAGAGTCATTTATATGGTGTTGCACCCAGAGGTAAACGGAATGAATCAATCCTGTTGTAGGAAAATCAAAGCGTTCATTCAACTGAAGCCACTTTAATTATGCAGGTCTGGAAATAAACTCACAGGTTTCTCAAGACGGACAGTCAGATCCACCACAGACACATTGGGGGTGGGGACACGGAAGGCCATACCAGTAAGCTTGCTGAAACGAGAAGCAACAAGCATCAGAGTATGTTTAGATGGCAGAAAGGGGAAGCAAAAACGAAACAAATTCTTAAGTTCCCCAAGCAGACCATTCCACTTTTGAGTAAATATCACCGTGCATCCTGAAAACACGTCAATAGGCTACAGTTCAAATCAACTCGGACCTTTAAAAACGGCATGCTGAGCACTTTCATGGAAGTGGATTTTAAAACTGCAATCCAACAAGCGTGCTCTTTAAACATCTCAAAGCGTGTTACGGACCCATTGAGCTCAGGAATGACTTTGCCCACAGCCTTGGCAGCCCCAGTGGAGGCTGGGATAATGTTCTGACTGGCACCGCGGCCATCCCTCCACAGTTTCCCTGAGGGCCCATCCACAGTCTTCTGTGTGGCTGTGATGGCATGAATAGTGCTCTGAGAGTGGGGAAGAGGGAGACAGTTAATGTTCGGAGAAAGATTATAAAAGCAAAGCTTTATGTGCATCTCTAGCGGTATCAACTGATGCATGTCAATAAGAATCAAGTGTAGAGCTTAATAAGGAGAAGTGGAACAGAATAAACTGACGCAGCATGTCAGGTTTCAATCACTTTGGGTCAAAAGGCTTTTTTGGCGAGATAAACTGCTTTTCCACTTACCATAAGACCTTCAATAATGACAAAGTTATCATGGATGACCTTGGCCAAGGGAGCCAAGCAGTTGGTGGTGCAGGAGGCATTGCTAGTAAACAGACAGGTGGAATCAGTCACAAAAAGGGAACCATTTTAATGAAATGCTCAGATTTTATTGAAGAGAAGTGACAAATGTTAGGATTTAACATGCTTGAGTTCAACTGGTTGCTTTAGTACACCCCCTACAGGATATGATCCATGATTGCATATCTCTGCAGCACGACCATATAAGACACCCAAGTTAAAAAAATAAATAGCTGCTTCTTCTGGTCACACCTTTTTACCTTTAAAAAAAAAAAAAAAAAAAACTAAACTTTAACTTAGTTGCATAAAAAGTTCAGGAAATAGAGCCTTCCATCACTCAGATGGAAACCAAAATTAGGAACTTGCCATGTAACTGAGGTCAATGAAGGGATCATTGATGGCCACAATCTCTACTTTCTTGGACTGGAAAGCAGCACGGGTCACCAGGCGCCCAATGCGGCCAAATCTGAGTTAAAAAAAAAATAATATTCCACAAATATTAAGCAGCACAATGGTTAAGCAGATTTCTGAAGGATCATGTGACATTGAAGGCTGGAGTAATGATTACTCAAAACACAGGAGTAAAATTTCACTTTGAAACCCATTAAGACAAAAGTTATGAAGAGTAAGTTTACATTACAATTTTAAAACTTAAAAAAGCAGCTTTGGTGGGCACAAATCATTAACATCCGAACTTAACTTTTAGTTAGTGTATTTGTATAACTCCATAATGAGCGAAGTGCTTTTAATAAAACCAAATTTAATAAAAAAAAATTTTAAATCCATATTTACAATAATGCACAAAAGAGCAACCAACACATACAGTAAGTTCCAGCATCAAATCCACTAGATGGCACACAAGCCCCATTTCTGAATAAGCACAAAACAAATTCCTGTCCTCATGAGTCTTGTGATTGGGTCAACTTGTGACCTACCAGTCAAAAGATTTAAAAGCTTTACATTTTACCCAATACAGAAAAATGTCCTTTCTAACCTTTGAACCCTTCAATATTTGCTAGAGACAAAAGCTAAACCCTGGAGAATGGTTTAGTACAATTCAGTTAGATCAGTGGTTCTCAAACCTCTCCATGAAGTACCCCCAGCACTGCACATTTTGTATGTCTCTCTATATCTGACACACCCACTTCAGGTCTTGCAACCTCCAATAATGAGCTGATGAGTTGAATCAGGGGTGATAGATGAGGGGGACATACAAAATGTGCAGGGCTGGGGGTACTCCAGGACAGGTTTGAGAACCACAGAGTTAGATGATACTAACAAAGCATCACAGACCATTTGCCAGAACTTCATATGGCCTGCCCTCTGCCATTCAGACTGTGATAAAGAATTTCTGTAGGCCTCCAGCTGTCATTGTGAGCTATTTTGGTGCCTATAACACCAATGCTGCTCACAAGAGAGATAAGACACAGGACTGACTCCATGAAAGAAGTCCTCCATTGCAACACTTTCAGCTACCTATTAAATCAATAGGCCAAAGGAAACCGGGATCACAGTACATACTGCTTTGCGCTGATAAGATGTACTGATATGGTGAAGGTACAACAACTTCAAAACATTTGCATGAAGTCCGTTAAGATTGAGAAACAGGCCAAAGGTAGAAAGTCCTGTAGATATAATGCTCCTGGTAAAAAGGGATAGACTGTTTGACGAGTGGAGTTACCTTTTAAATCTTCACGATAATCAAAAAGTGCAAGAGGCATGGCAAAATATCTGGAATTACTGAAATACACTTTAAAAGAACACACTCTCATGTAAACAAAGTTTTTGGACACCTAACCGCACATTAGAATTAAGTTAGTGTATTATTGCTTAAATTTGTTAAAATGCAATTAGTAGAACAGAAGTCATTTGACCCACTTAAGTTCATTTTATGTTACTTCATAATTACTACCACGTTTGCAATATGGTTAAAAGTGTTAAGTTTAAAACACTAACTATTAAAACTTGCATGCATTTAAATATATTTAGTGAATTTGCAATCTAGTATATTGAAAATCATATATTGCTAAAAAACGCTTTAAAAATTTGCTTTAGTATTTTTCAGTGTACTTGAAAGCCCAAAAGATAAAACTTGACTTAAAATATACTTTAAAAAAAAATTGACGGTTCAAACTAAGTGCACTTTTTAAAAGTATACTTAAATGTGTTAAACTTATGAAAATGTACAGCGAGTACATAAGTGGCCTTTTATTTCATCACTTAATATAATAATTTTTAAATATACTTTCAAGATTTGAAGTACCCTACAAGTGCACATTCAAAACAATCAAAGACACTTTTCTGCAAGGAGCATGTAGCTGTGGAACACGCAATAGCACACATCCATGACATGTTCCATAGACGGCCCAAGGCATAAGCAAACCAAGCGGCTGCTTTTGGGGGGGGGGGGGGGGGATGTCAATGGAATGGACAATGTTAATTATACCAAAAAAAAAAAAAAGTTTTAATGTCTGAAACCTAAAATAAACTTTATGTGGTTGAAAACACTGAATCAGGGGCGTTGCACCAAATGTTGGGCCCCGGTCACACAATCAAGGGGGTGGGACCCTCACAACACACCCCATCAAACACCCAAGACTGATTTATTTTCACTATTATTTTTGTATTATTTATTTTCAGTCTAATTTCAGAGGATCAAAAATAAACTAACATAGCAAGATATTAAAAGGCACAATAAGGATGATTTTTTTATTAAAATATCCAAAAACCACTAGAACGGTGTTATATATTTTGCTGACTTGTGTCTTGCATTATCTCAAGTGTCGAAGAATGTTTAAATCCAGAGAAATAAGTAATTTTAACCAGTGACACGGACCGTGTCTATAGTGTCATCGTGTCGCCTGCCAATGACGTCATAACCCCTCGATTTCTGGTTTTGTAGAAAACACCAAAGATGCTTTAATATGTTATGCGTTTTATTAGACCGGTGACGACCGCACAGAGTAGCATAATAATTAGGGATGCACCGAATTTTCGGCAACCGAAATTCGGCCGAAAATAGCAAAAATAAATAAAATAAAATAAACAAAAAATAAACAAAAAATAAACAAAAAAAACTTTCGGTGTTCGGCCGAATAATATGTACCGAACAATGACTATCGCGATCAAATAGAGGCACGTACTAATGCAGCAAACATGTCGGCAGTGTGAAAGTATTTAAAACTATCAGAGAAAGACGCAAAAATCATTACAAGCAGGAAGCATCGACAGCGAGAGACTGTTTAGTGCTGCATCACATGTCTCCGATGAGATGAAGAGGTGGCTGATGCTGGTGGTTAGGCTACTGTATTATGATTTAAATCGCGAAATTGCCTCAAACGATTAGTAAATAAACGCACGCACGAATTGTATTCTGACAGCGCTGCACGAGCTCGCGGCACCAAGGTTCAAAGTCCAAAGCGCGATGAAAATCCGCTCTGAACTTGTTACTTGTCAATTGCTCAGTAACATTTGTGAATTTTTTTAAAGGCATGTGACATTGTGATACGTGCGACAAACATAGGCGCGGGAAGTTTTTTTTCTGTGGGCAACCGTTTCAGTTGGGGAAAAAAAAAAAAACACACAGAGTGTCTATTTACACTAAGTGCAAATAGCCTGCCTTGTTGGCAGTGACACGGACCGTGTCTATAGTGTCATCGTGTCGCCTGCCAATGACGTCATAACCCCTCGATTTCTGGTTTTGTAGAAAACACCAAAGATGCTTTAATATGTTATGCGTTTTATTAGACCGGTGACGACTGCACAGAGTAGCATAATAATTAGGGATGCACCGAATTTTCGGCAACCGAAATTCGGCCGAAAATAGCAAAAAAAAATTAAATAAAATAAACAAAAAATAAACAAAAAATAAACAAAAAAAACTTTCGGTGTTCGGCCGAATAATATGTACCGAACAATGACTATCGCGATCAAATAGAGGCACGTACTAATGCAGCAAACATGTCGGCAGTGTGAAAGTATTTAAAACTATCAGAGAAAGACGCAAAAATCATTACAAGCAGGAAGCATCGACAGCGAGAGACTGTTTAGTGCTGCATCACATGTCTCCGATGAGATGAAGAGGTGGCTGATGCTGGTGGTTAGGCTACTGTATTATGATTTAAATCGCGAAATTGCCTCAAACGATTAGTAAATAAACGCACGCACGAATTGTATTCTGACAGCGCTGCACGAGCTCGCGGCACCAAGGTTCAAAGTCCAAAGCGCGATGAAAATCCGCTCTGAACTTGTTACTTGTCAATTGCTCAGTAACATTTGTGAATTTTTTTAAAGGCATGTGACATTGTGATACGTGCGACAAACATAGGCGCGGGAAGTTTTTTTTCTGTGGGCAACCGTTTCAGTTGGGGAAAAAAAAAAAAACACACAGAGTGTCTATTTACACTAAGTGCAAATAGCCTGCCTTGTTGGCAGAGGCTATTTACACTAACTCCACCCAGCAACATTACAAAAAGAGTAATTAATCATCAGATTCAGTGGCGTAGATGGTAAAGCGTGTACCATTCTTCTTTTGACGCGATCGACCCAGGTTCAAATCTGCCTTTAGGCGAAATTTTTTGTCCCTTTTCAAATATCAAATCACATCAGAAAAGCATTTTTTTTAAAAATATAATTGAAGGAAATAATCAAAGTTGAAAAAGTATCGGGTACGGTTAGGTGTAGGGAGGGCTTTTGTCCCAATAAGGTGGCATCCATTTAATAATTTGAATTAATTTACACTCAAGTTATTGCACCGTTTTATAATGTATTACAATGCTGAGGTGCAGATAATTGACACCATTTGCAATAAGTAATTAGCAGAATATCCTGCTACTATCTATAGCTATTTGCACTTAGTGTAAATGGCACATCACTTAAAAAAAAAAAAAAATCTCAAGTAAAACTGGTACTGCAGAAAGATCGAGATGGTCCTCACTGCAGAACACAAGTCCAGGGGGCGTACTCCCACCCGACATATACCTAGCCTACTCTTCTCCACCCCCTAATCCCTAAACCCACCCATCTCCACCCATAAACCTACAAATCTCCACCCATAGATGTGGATCCAACCAAATGTGTATATATGGTAATGTTATAGATTATCAGTATATCATTATGGGCCCCCCCTCACCAAGGGCCCCGGTTACTCAGTTCCACCATTAATTACCCCCTGTCCGACGCCCCTGGTTGTGATGTATGAAGAGCACTGAGAGCGTCCGTCACTGGCTCAGTGCCAGCCCAAGCGTAGCGAGAGAAAAGGTTTATTATGGTAATGTTATAGATTATCAGTATATCATTATGGGCCCCCCCTCACCAAGGGCCCCGGTTACTCAGTTCCACCATTAATTACCCCCTGTCCGACGCCCCTGGTTGTGATGTATGAAGAGCACTGAGAGCGTCCGTCACTGGCTCAGTGCCAGCCCAAGCGTAGCGAGAGAAAAGGTTTATATATTTAAAAAAAAAAAA